TATATATATGTTCTTGCATTCCCAAATTCAATCCTGTTGAATGATTGGCTTGGGAAATTGAAGTCAGTCTAGATTCCCTTAAAGCTCTACTTCTGGGAAAATGCCAAGGGATGTAATTTGTTGGCATCACTATTTCCATTAAGTGGTTTTATTTTTATCATGTATACGTTACTTTTAAGTCTTAATTCCTAATTAAGTCACTTCGCTTTTTGGAAAAAAATGAGATATATGATATATAAAGCAAGAGTACATGTGCATCTGTGTGTGTGTGTGTGCGCGCGTGCGTGCATGTGCATGCATGTGTGACAGTGAAAAGTGCCCTGAGAACAGACACAAAACCTGGTTCCAGCTCTGCTATTCCATGACTCTGAGATGTCTGTCAGTTACAACTTTCTGTGCATTATTTTTCTCATTTGTGAAGTGAAAGGGTTTCATTAGATGATGATGCACTTTCTACTGTCACATTATTCTAAAAAATAAACAAAATAATGTGAGTTAAATGAGGAATAGCTTATATGAACATACAAGGAGGGGATCTAAAAAGAAACTTCAGAAGTACCTTCTGGAGGGCAGGCTTCCCCTGCTACAGGCTTCCCCTGCTAGGTCAGTGCTCTAGGAACCCAGGACATCAGTGTACAAGCTAGTCATTGTTGTGAGAGGCTGCCCAGGATGGGTGATGTGTAAATGCATCTGACCACACCATGCTGCATATTCAGCCATTTTTGACCGAAAAACAACATGACCCCTGTGCCCTACCCTCCCTATTCACCTGATCTCACTACAAGAGACTTTTTTTTTGTTTCCCTGCATGAAAAAAAGTTCTCGAAGGGTAGCATTTTGTCAATGTGCAAGAGGTAAAACAAAAAATGGCAGAAGCACTAAACGGCATCAAAATTGTCAAGTTCAAAAACTGTTTTGAGCAGTGAAAAAAATGTCTTAATAGGAGTATTTGCATCAAATGAAGAGTACTTCGAAGGTGACTGAAGTTTATACATGTAAGAATAAATACACAAATTTTTCTTAAATAAATTCCAGGGTTTGGATTCCCCTTGTACATGTAAATGCTCCTTAAATCTATCAGTTATCTGTAGATCTCTACAGGATAATTTTTATTTTAGCATATGCAAATTATTACTATTCCCTTTTGGAAATTATACAAAGAAGTGAGATTGGAGATAGAAAAAGAAAATAAGTATACATAAGAAGATTAAATCTATATAATGCGTATAAGTTTAACATAACTATAAATGATACATTTACATATGTTATTTGATATTTATTATTCACATTGATTTGTTTTTATTTTACTGAAACTATTTATTGGCATTTTCATAGTTAGTAGAAATCTTGAGCCATTAAATCCCATTTTTCCTAATATGGAATTTTCCCAAAGGATTTATGTTTCTCAACTTTACTCTCTTATTTGTTAATAACTCCAGTTATAAATAAAAATCTCATTTCAGTGATTGAGAGGAAACTACTGAAGAAGAGATACTTGAAAATGATCTTTCCAGCTTTGCTCTTGGGTAGGAGAAATAATTCCATTAGAATGATTTTCATCTCTGAGCATTATGGGTGATGAGATATAGCTTTAATTTGTATCTAGTTATTCTTTAAGTGATGCAGAAGTCAATCCATAGCTTCTTTTTTGCCAAAAGAAAGGAAAACCCTGTAGTGACTTCATTCTGACCCATATTTGCGTTTACTAGCTTCCTAAGGGCTTACTGTGAAAACCTAAACCTGGTTTCCGTGACTCTTACATCTTGTTAACTTCAGTGAGGGCAGTTTCTGACTCCCCAATAGTTTGTGTTCCAAAAGTTAGTGTTTATGTTGGAAAATTTGAATTTGTATTACAAAACATCCTGTTTAAACAATGATTGGTGATAGCATTCCGAGGTCAGTTCATACGAGACTTTGGAATTCACAATGTACGTAGAGTATAGAACTAATAGTAATAATCTTATATTGAAGTTAATAACTAAACATATGGTTTGCAGAAAATGCATTATGTCTTTATAGCAATAGGTTCTTCTTTGTCTGCAAAAACTGTGGAGGGTAGGAGTGAGGTGATGTCTCCAGTGCATCCTTAATCTTTCATTCATGCAACAGATATTTCTTGACTATCTGTTATGAGCAGAGGTACTATGTAATTGGTAACCATGACTGAATATATTTGCATGACAGAAGACACCTTCCAACCAAGGCTATTTATTTCTCAGGTAAGTAACAAAAGGCAAGAGTGCCTATGGGGGAGTGCAGGTTTCTTTTTAAATTTATGTATTCTTTCAATAGCTTTAGGGGGTAGAGATAATTTTTGATTATGTGGGTGCATTGTATAGTGGAGAAGGAGTCTGGGCTTTAAGTGTACCTACCACCTCCACCTATGCACTTTGTACCCAGTAGGTGATTTTTCATCTCTCCCCACCTTCCCATCCTCCACTTTTTTGAGTTTCCAATGTTCATATACCACACTCCATGCCTTTGCAAATTCTTAGTTTAGCTCCCACTTATAAGTGAAAGCATGCAACATTGAATTTCTGTTCCTGAGTTAGTTCACTTAGGATGATGTCATCCAATCCTATCCAAGTTTACTGCAAAAGACATTATTTCATTCTTTTTAAATGGCTGAATAGTATTTCATGGTGTATATATACCACATTTTCAGTATCCACTAATCAGTGGGCATTTAGGTTGATTCCACACCTTTGCACTTGTGAATTGGGGAGCATAGGTTTTAACTTATGCCTCTAAGGTTGGTAAGTCAGATTCTCTAATCTGGCAAGCATTTAATACCATTATTCATTCATATAGTTAAAAATATTCTAAAGTCACCTACTCTGTGACAAATGCAAAATACTTCAAATGAAGTAGTCCCCAGAATTGTTTGAAATGAGTAACTGCCCTTGTTTATATGGAGAACTTAATGCACAATCAACTTGTGGAATTGCTAAAGTCATATGGTTATTTAATGATCATATAGTGACTTAACTTCCTAGTTCTTTTATACTGTTCTTATAGCTAAACTTACCCTGCATACAATAAAGATCATCTGTTTAGTGTTTAACATGCACAAGGTGTTGTTGATCCTTACAGGCTTTCTCAACCTGGGTTCCACAAGAGTTTTAAACAATTGACCCATTTTTAATGACTCTTTTCTCAATTGTCCCAAGGAGAATGCATTGCTAGTCCTAATCTAGTTGCATAGGAAGGAAGTTAAGTCCTAGACAATGAGTGCTTTAATACAATATGAGTTAATTCTCTTCAGAGAAAGGCTCTGAATCTTCTTTAACGCTCACTACCTCTCCATGAGACAAACATTATTATTATTTTTTTTAAGTTGGAGTCTCACTCTGTCACCCAGGCTGGAGGGCAGTGGCACTGTAGCCTCAACCTGCAGGGCTCCAACAATTCTTCTGCCTCAGCCTTCCAAGGAGCTGGAATTACAGACATGTGCTACCACGCCCTGCTAATTTTTGATTTATTGTGGAGAAGAGGTATCGCCAAGTTGCCCAGGTGGGTCTCAAACCTGCGGGCTCAGGCAATCCACTCACCTCGACCTCCCAAAGTGCTGGGATTACAGGCTGAGTTACCGAGCCCAGCTGGTAAGCATTATTATTGACTCAACTTCACAGATGCAGAAACTAGCACTGTGAGAGACTACCT